CCTCCCTTCCTTCCTTCTTCCCTCCTTTCCTCCCTCCCTCCCTCCCTCTCTTCCTTTCTCTCTCCCTTCCTTTCTTCCCCCCTCCTTCCCTCCCTTCCTTCCTTCCTCCCTTCCTTCCTGCCAGCTTTCAAAGGCTCTGCTCCTCATTTCTCAGTCCTGTGAGCCAACCTGTAGTTCACTAACCTTTTCTGAACTACTCCAAAGGTAAATTTGAGGGACTGATAAATCAGTGCATATCCCAGACAGCAGATAACAAAACACCCTGCCCCACTTGCAGATATCTGCCCAGCCCTAAAAGAATTCTTGGAAATGCTTCTGTGAAGAAGGAGAGATCCAGTGGTCTGCAGTATAGTCAGTGGCCTTCATCCCCCCCCCCCAGCCCCCCCCCCGAAAGTGTTAGCTTTAGATTTTTCAAACCACTGGCTGCCCCAGTGAGGCCCATGCCCAATCTCAGCTGCAGCCCTCTTTACAAAGAGAGCAAAAATGTGATGCACCCTGGAGGAAACCCTCTTTGCGAAGTCTGTTGATACCTGTTACTGCAGATGGAAAGGTTTATTTCAAGCCAGGCCATGAAGACTTGGAATTGATTTCTGTGCTTTGGCTTCTATGTGATTTGTTAAGCAAAAAGCTTTAGTTAAAAATGGGTGGCCTCACAAAAGGGTGAGCTGCTCCCAGTCCTCCTCTGCCTCATCTGATTTTCATGCCTTCCCCAGGCATCGGGGCAGCATATCGGCTCACCAGGGGCCCACGCCCAGTTGGTCAGGCCACAAGCACTCAGAGTCCAGCCGAGGAGACGGAGAAGCCTGGCATTGACAAAAAGCTAGGAAGGAAGCTTGCAGATCCAGGGTCAGCTGCCACCTTCTGCAGCCAGGGGCCAACACCCTGGCAACATCTGCCTCCCCGACGCGATGGAGGAAGATGGACCACGTGCTTCTGCCTCTGGGATTGTCTCTCCTCCCCTTGCCCCTGTCCCCTCTTAGCCTCTTTCTCTGGGCACAGAGGAACCCAAATCCACTGTTGCTAGAAAGAAAATGGCGGCTAAATACCGTAGGGATCAACTCAGCATCCCTGGCGCTCATCCTCCCTAGTTACACTCTCTTCTATGTCATCTCTGCCCTGGTACATAAACCCTGGAGGAGAGGGGCTGTCTTATCCACACCTAATACAAATTCTATGACATTCATTTGTGGTTTTGCCACTTTATGACACAGAGTTACCCGACGAGCATTGGTAATAAATAACAACAAAAAGCCTTTCTCGCTGCCTTCAGTAAAGCCCATTGACTCCCTCCCCCTCCCCCCAAACAAGAACCTCTCACTTTATTAATTAAGAGTTTTCCAAAACTCACCTCTTCAGGCTCGATCAGTTTAAACTCCATGCCACGGCCAGTCCAAGCAATGAAATGGGAATTTGAGGGGTCATCAAGGAGGGCCACCAAGAACTGCCACAGCTGCAAGGAACCCCGCCGTTGGTAAGTGGGGCCCTCTCGGTACATCCCCGGCTCTTGTTTGATATCTCCTGATATCGAACAAAAACAAAAACAAGCCTCATTAAGCAAGAATCATGAAGGAGGAAAATGGCCCACCATTACTTGTGGGCATCTGAATAGCCCAGGATTGGTGGGCAGGAAGGAGTCGGGGCTCTGAACAATGGGAGAAGCTTTAACGGGGATGTTCTGCTCAGAAATAACATCATTCAGGCATCAGTACAGATGTCCTCAGTGGGGGGGGGGGGGGGAGAGGGGCCCTCTAGGAAGTGACCTGGAAGAGAGGAACACCTTTCTAATATCATACTTCACTGCTCCAGGGATTCACGATGTCATCAGCGTGCTTTCCCTCTACCAGACCAGATCAATCAGTCGGTCAATTAGTCAATAAGCATTTATTAATCGCCTACTATGTATGTGTCAAGCACTATGCAAAACGCTGGCTTAAAATATCACAAGACCTTGTATGGCTGAGTTGACAGTTTGGCAGCTTGCTGAGCCTCAAAATGTCATCCCCTCGAGGCCACAGCGTGGTGATGAACTGCTCCAACCTTAGCCAGCCAGGTCTACAGACACAATCCTCTCTGCATTCTATACTCACAGCTTTCTAAGCCTGCTAACACTGGCAGACCTTTGCCTTACAGAATCCTCCCTATGCGTCCAACCACTACCACCTCCCCCTGCCAGGTTCAATCAGTCACTCACTCAATAAATCAATAAACTTTCATTAAACTCATGCTATGTGCCTGACACTGTACTGGGCACTTATGGTTTATTAGACTAATGTCTAAATTGGGTGTTCTAAACTGTGTGTGTGTGTGTGTGTGTGTGTGTGTGTGTGTGTGTGTGAGATGGGCCCCTTTGGGAACAGGATGAAGGGTATGGACCTTTTCTCCAAAAAATATTTTAAATATATAAAATAAAATGCATAGGACTGCAAAAGAAATCGATTATATTAAATATAGTTATATATGTATATATGCATACATATTTATGTGTATATGTGCATACAGAATATAAACATATGTGTGTATATTTGTCTGTTCTTCCAAGTAGTCAGTCCCTAGGTTAAGAAACTCTGGTCCATGGAGTGACTTCAGGACCCATGAGTTAAGAAGACAATGTAGAAAGTCAAAAAGAACTAGCAAGAAGTGTAAAAAGAGGTCAAGAATTCAAGCCAAGGGACATGGCCATTCTTGGGAAGCTCTTCCATGTACAGAACCCACCTGGAGAGCGCTCTTCAGGTTTGGAAGCACATTTAGGAAGGACATTGATCAGCCGGAGAACTTCCAGGGGAAGGCAAGCAGTGATTAGAAAGGGCCTCACAGAGACTGGTGCCAAGGAACTGAGAATGTTTAGCCAAAAGGAGAGAAGATGAAGGAAGCCTGACTGTGATCTTCCATTATCTAAAGAGCTGAAATACAGGAGAGAAACCAGACTGGTTCTGCTTGGCCTCGGACACCAGACATGGGAGCTCTGACGGAAGTTACAAAGAAGCAAATTTAGGCTTGATCTAAGAGAGAAAACCTCCCTCTACCTAACACAGAGAGACATCAAAAAGTAGGATACGCTGTCTCAGGAGGCCACAGGTTCCCCTCTTGGAAAGAGAGATGACCACGTACAGAGCACAGCGTGGAGGTGCTTATTTTTGATGTATGGTTGGACTGGATTGTCTTCTGCTATTCTGATATTCCCTGATTCTGAATGAGGTTTGCGTGTGTGTGTGTGTGTGTGTGTGTGGCTCCCTCTGTGTCTCGTGCTGGCATCTCAGTTGATTCTTTGTCAAGTGTTGCTCCCAACCCACACCTGTCTGAGAGCCTCACTGCAAGGGGGCTGGTGAGAGGGTGAGAGAGAGAGAGAGAGAGAAAGAGAGAGAAGAAGGAGGAGGAGGAGGAGGAGGAGGAGGAGGAGGAGGAGGAGAAGAAGAAAAGAGAGAGAGAGAGAAAGAGGGAGATGCTACAAGCCAAGCTTGGTGATGGTATGTATCCCCAAGTGTCACCCCAGATGTCATCTGGGATTTCTTCACTGACTAATACGAGACAAGACACATGGCAAGGACTTTTTGTATGCAGATGCTCAGGAGGCAAATTTGAGCAGGAGCTGGACTTTGAGTCAAGTCACATGGGTTAACGCACAGGACACAAATCCTGTGGGCATGAGAGTCCCTCGAGGATGGCATGAATTACCATACATAGGAGATTATTTTCCAATTCTATCCTTCTGTTTCAGTGACCATTTTCTCAATAGGTGACAAATGACATTTCTCATTTAAAAAATGTTATGCTGTATTTTCATCACCAAATTTGTTATGATTCCTTTTCAAAGCACACAATCCCCAAACATCCATGCTATTCACAACTTGCGTTCGATTGTGTTTATGTGATCCCCCCAAAGGAATTACTGAAAGATGGGAATGAGGATCAATGAGAAGGTTTGGGTGAATCAAGATCTGAACGAGGGGAGGAAGGACAGAGCAGGCATCAGCAAGCTACCAAGACATACATCGGGCTATTTATAAAAACAAATTAATAGTAATAAAAAAAGCACTTGCTGCCCCCAACTCATCACAGCCCTGCCTTCTGAAGCCACTGTAATCAGCTAATCAGAGGGCCCCTACTTGCCTCCTGTTGTTCGCCAATCAAGGAAAAACACGAGGCTGCTCCAGAGAAATGTGCTGTCCCTTGACTGGCCCTCCTGTGTCCTGGCTCACTCAGACATTCTGACTGCTGGCAGAGCCACAGTGGCCCTGCCAGGATGGGCCTGGCAGCCAGGGCTCCTCGGGAGAGAATACCCACCCAACACCACTCAGAGCCACGCTAGCAGATCAGTTCCCCAGATGCCCCCAAACCCCAGAAAAGTGAATCTCCCTGTTGTAGTATGCTCCATAACTCATCTTTTCAGGGACAAGCAGGAGCCTGGGGGTATTCCTCAGTCCCCATTAATACCAGAAGAGCATGCTTTCAGCCTGGCCTTGTTAATTATGGGATCGGCTTCCAATAAATCTCAAATAACCAGCTGGATACAGCCGTCAGGGGCGCAGAAGCCCTATTGTACGTGGCTCCCCCGCCCACCACAACAGGCCAGCAAGACCTTTCCTCTCCTGTCACGGATCCAGGTGTGGACCCATTGGCTAATTATAGTGACCAGAGCTTCCAACTGGGGCCTTGTGGGAGAGGATTCCATTGGAAGACATGGAGGTGAGTGATGGGGGGGTACAGGTCAAAGGTCATATTTGGAATCCATCTGCCCTTCTCCCACTAGCCACTGATGTCTTCCCTTCTCAAATGACTAGCCTTTCTTTGGCATATATTTTTTTTTGTAAACGCTTATATAATCACAATTGGCATTCATATCTGCTTTTAAGGTTTACAAAGTGCCTCACAACAACCCTATGAAGTAGGTACTATGATCATCCCCATTTTATAGTTTAGGAAACTGAGGCAAACAGCGTGAAGTGTCTTGACTGGGGTCACACAGCTAATAAGTATCCAAGGCCAGAGTTGAAATAAGGTCTTCCTGACCCCAGGTCCAGGGCCCTATCCACTGATCCCCTCCCTAGTTGCCTTTATAGCTGCACATGCTGTTTCCCCTGCTAGAATGCAAGCCCCTTGTGGGTAGCGAGTCTTCCATTTGTGTTTCTGCATCTCCAGCAGCTGGGAACAACAGACCTTGCATTATTGCTTGTTGATGGACTACTAGATTGCTATCGTCCCCATGTCCCTCCCCCAGAAGGCAATAAGTGAAAAACATACCATCAAACTTCTCTGGGACCACACAGGTGTCATCGTAAAACTGCCTGGGGCCCTTTTCAAACATGCAACCTGCAGGAGAAAAAGGAGATCAGTGAAGGACCCAGGAAGGAAGGGCTTTCATGAACAACTTTCAAAGGCAAGGCGTGGTCACCATGTTATCTGTGCATCCCCAGCCCTGCATGGAGGAGGTCCTTGATAACGGCCTTGATGGAAGGGCATCAAACCCATCCCAGCTCTGGCACTTCACACCTGTGAAGCCCAGGCCAGGGCCTCTTTCCTCACCAGAATATCACCAGGTTGGGCAGGGGTGGGCCTCCAAGGGGTTTTCCGCCACAGCCTCAATGACCATCCCACTACCATCATATCATTAACTCATTCAATCAATCAACAAGTATTTATTGAGGACCTACTACTTGTTAAGCCCCTATGTATGGGATATAACAACATCAACAGCAACAATAAAAATGATAATAATAAAAATAACTAGCTAGGGCTTTAAGGATTATAAAGCACTTTACACATATCATCTCATTTGATGTGTACGATTAATGCAAAGCCTAGAATCTGCCTGAGAAACCTGTGCCTGGGTTTAGAAACAAGTAAATCTCTCTGGAGGTGGCCCAGATGCCTAAGGGAAAGGCCCCTAGAAAACCCAGGCCTGGGAGAGCCTGATCCAAGGGCCTGTCCATCTGGGATCTTAGAGTTAGAGCAGGACAAGACCTTGAAGGCCATGGAGTCCACACCTCTCATTTGTCTGAAACTGCAGGTCAGAGTCATGCAGTGACTAGCCCAGGGTAAGCCAGTCAGTAAGGGGCAGAGCCTGGATGAGAACTTGGAGGCTGACTCCCTGGCCAGTGCCCACCCTCTCTGCCACACTTGGATAGAAAAGAAAGCACTTTCCTCGCTTCCTTTGTAGATTAGATCCCTATGGGAGTTTCAGGCACCCACTGGGAGCACCTTCCCCAGTAGCGCCACAGGGAGAATTTAATAAGGACCCAGGCACACAGAGATCATCTAATTCACCCCCTCTTGTTTTACAGATGAGGGTGTGAAGCAGCCTGCCCAATGTCACAAAAGCATTGAGTGTCAGGGTCACAATACGAACTCAGGGCTTCTGGCTTCAAGTTTAATGCTCTTTCTACCATATCAGACAAAAAATCCAAGAGAGACAGAAAGAGAGACAGAGAGAGAGAGAGTAGGGGAAGAGAGGAGAGGAGAGGGGAGGGGAGAAGGAAACTTGTATATGTCAATCCATGTCAATGTGTTGGGGGAAAGCAATGGCTGGGAATTGTCAGGGAAGATTCCTTAAAAAGAGATCTGGATGGGCAGAAGGTCAGGTGTGTCTACCGCTCACTCACCACGCCTTCAAAGAATGTGGATGTTGGCAGGGCCAAAGGCCAAACATGCTGGTGGACTCAGACCAGCCCTGTGACACCACCCAGCAATACCAGAGTTGAACTGAAAATGTCCATTCAACTTTCCAAGGTCCAGCTGGGAACTACTTTTATTTTAAAGCAGGTCCACGGGTGAGATCCCCTCACCCTGGAGTCACTCCTGGAGAACGGAGGAAATGCTCTGCGTTCTCCTCGGGACTGGGGCTGGGGCCAGAGAACGAGCAGACTCACCCTCTGTTCTGTTGGGGTGCACCAGGAAGCCCTCTTGCCGCATGTAAATGGAGTGGCAGCTAGGCACTTCTGAAAGGGAACACAACATTAGTCAGAGGGCACCTGGAGAGGCAGCGGGCACTAGCTTGGCTATAACTGTAGATGGAGGAGCAACAGTGAGCAACTTGATTGATTCTCCATCCGTCCATCATGATCATCACAAACACATCCCAGGCACGGGGGGCACCTTGGGTGGGAGGGATGCCGAGCTTTTAAAAGAGATGTGGAACATCAAACATTCATCGAAAAGCAACCATACTACCGGCCAGTTCCCACAAGCACCCAGCTCCAATGATGGCGGCTGGGAAGTCCTCACTTTATGGCACAATAGTGGCTCTGTACTGTATAAGAGGAAAGTGAAGTATCAGCACCCAACCATCTGGGCAGACCCCCATTCCAAAGACATCACAGAGATGGATGCAGTAGGTGCCTAATAAATGCTTACTGACTGTAGTCGAGCTTCTTCATTTTACAGTTCTCATAGGAATGAGAGCTAGAAAGGACTTTGGTCATAATCTAATCTGGGTCCTTCACTTTATAGGTGAGGAAAGAGAAGCGTGAGGAGGTCATAAGTGGTGGAGCCAAGATGAGAGTCCAGCCCTCCCGACTCCTCGTGCTGTCTTCTCTCTTAGACACCGTACTATCCTCTCATGGAATTTTCAACCCAAACAAAATGGTAGGAAGGACAACTGAGCAGCAAGGCAGAAGTTAGCCTTTTTGAAATCAATTTAATCAGGAGGAGCCCCTTTGATTAATGAGACTCCTCTATATGAATATATTGCACCATCTTTGACATGTGGCTAACCAAAGCTTTCTTGTGGCCCATGAGCCCAGTTACCTCACATCCACCACCATGGCAGGCATCTGCCAGGGTCACAGTGAAATTGTTCCACATTTTCACTCATTCAGAAAGCATTTATTAGTTACCTGTGTTAAAGAATTTTTAGAGAATAAAATTCTTTTTTTAAATTTTTTTTGAATTTTTAGGTAATTGGGGTTAAGTGACTTGCCCAGGGTCACATAGCTAGTAAGTGTCAAGTGTTTTGGTCTAAGGCTAGATTTGAACTCAGGTCCTCCTGACTTCAGGGCCATTGCTCTATCCACTGCACCACCTGGCTGCCCCGAGAGTAAAATTCTACACCAACGTATTAAATGATTGCCTTTCTTTTCAGCATAGTTCATGGAAAGAACATTGGATTGGCAACTGGGAATGTCTGGTCCCACTCTGCCAGTCACTCTCTGTGTGACTTTGGATAAGTCGCTAAACCTTTCAGAATTTCATCTTCCTCATCTGTAACACAAAGAGTTTGAATTCGATGGTCTTAGAGACACCCCCCAGGCATTAATTCCATAATTCTACATAAAAATGTTTACTCACTTATCATATGCCGGGCGCCTCAGTTATGTACAAGCAAATGTCATTGAGATAATTCTACCCTCTACCTCACTGACAACTCTTTAAGTAATCAAACACAGAAAAACATAAATATTGCCATTAAAACATGAAAATGTATCCATTTCCAAAGGACCTGCCCCGCCCCACTCCCAATGAGCCACATGGCTTCTCTCCAGGTCAAGAGAGATGAATTTGTACTTTTTAATAGGAGCTAAACATCCATTAGCAATCAGAATCTTGCTAAGAGAATTTCTTCCAGTTGACTGGTTCATTCCCAAATATCTTTAACTGGTTTTAAAAATCCTCTGTTCCGAGGTCTACTCTGAATTTTTACTCCATTAATGGTGGTTTATAATAATATAAAAATATGGACTAAACCTACAATTTCATAAGAAAATGGGAGTCCCAGTGAATAAAGTCTCTCTACCAATGCAGGATGGCATGCATTCTGTAAATGACAGACTGAGGGAGTTGGCTAAGTGGCTTTCTCAAGGTCAAAAAGAAAGTCTATGTGGAAGGCAGGATTTGAACCCATGTACTCCTGGCTCTGACGTCAGTTATCTCTACGCTCACTGTCCTCTCTTCTTCAAGAATACGACTCATTTAATACAACTCATGCCCATTTCAGGACAGGATTTCAATTTTTTTTTTTTTTCACACAGTCTGAAGCCTTTGTCTCCCTGTTTTCAGGCTCGCAAATTGATAACATGGATTCTTCACAGAGAGACAACAAGCAAAGTAAAAATCCTCAAAATCAGCTTAGTCGCCAAAAAAAGGCATCAGCCACTCCGATGAAAAGCTGAGCCCCATCCTTCTCATGGGAGGTGGAACCTTTGGAAGAAGCTGCTTTTGCCCAGGTCTGGTGATCCGGTGGCTGCATCTCTCATGGCATGAGGATGACGACATCCCTTCTGGCCACAGTCTCTGCTCCCTGGCATTCCTGGCACAACAGAATTCCAGGGGATTTTGAGTCCCCAAAGAGCTGAGCTCAGTGATCTCCCAAAGGCTGGATGGTGATGATCTCAGCGAGTTCCTCTGGCAAGCCCAAGAGGCCGCCTCTAAAGACTGGGCACAAGCAGCATGAATGACCTTGTCATCTCTGCTGGCCTGCAATGGTTTCAACAAATGCAACAATGCAATGCAATAAAATTAATTATACCAATGCAACAAAAATAATGATACCAATTGCCACCAGCTGGAGTAAGGCTGGCTAAACAGCTGCCCAGTTCTCTTCTCCAGTTCGAGAAGGATGCAGGACATGTCTCTCTCTGCCTGGGAGGACAAAGACCCCACCCTTCCATAGAAGAAAGGAGAAATCTGTGCACTCCCCCTAGTTTAACAGATTTGCTAGTTACTAAGACAAAACAAGGGAGCCCCTGCCCCCAGGACCCCAAAGGCTATTTATTGGGGGGTTTGCTATAGACACAAAAAGTCAATACAACAGGATCGGAGGAGGGTACTTGTGGTAACAACAGGGCATTTCAGTAAAGTGTGCCAGGAGCAGGTGGCATCTGAGTTCAGCCTTCAAGGAAGCCAGGGATTCTCAGAGATGGGGATGAGGAAGGAGTATGTTGCAAGCATGGGGGGACCTCTCTGCAAAGACACGGAGGTGGGGAAGAAATGCTATGTCTGAGAAACAGTGAATGAGTCATCTCCTCTAGAATGTATAGAGTGAAGTGGAGTCATAGGTAATAAGCCTGGGAAGGCAGGCTGAAGGTATATTGTGAAGGACTTTAAATGACAGCATAAGGAGTTTGTATTTGATCCCAGAGGAGCTAGAGAACCACTGAAAATCCTTGAGCCAAGGTATGACAGACTAAACTGGGCAAATAAGGGGGTGGGGTTGGAATGAGAGACATATCAGTCCTGGCATCCTTCCTGTTGATGGGGCTGTCCCTGGGATGTTCAGAGGGCCTCTCTAAATGCCTCTCACATGTTCAGGGCACTGTTTGGAGTACATCTTGTCTTTTCCATTTCCTCGGAGAAACTTCAGTGATGCATCCCTGGTGTTCAGCAATGGTTAGAGCCATAGTTACTGAAATGACAAAGAGTCTCCCAGAACAACGGCTCTGGGATCTCCTCCATTCAAGAGCTCTCCCCCATATTCCAGGTTACCCAGACCTGGGGGATGTGCACTTGCCAAAGGGATGGGCCGTAACTCAGGAGGAAAAGCAGCCAGGAGGCTTTTTTTTACATCAGGCTATCAGTCATCAAGCATCTTAATCAATTAACAAGCTCTTACTAGAGCCTACTATGTGTTGGGCACTACGCTAAGAACTAGGGATACAAAGAGAGGCAAAAGATGGTCCCTGCTCTATGGGTGGTGGCCTGATGGGCCATCACTCATCACCAGGAACCTTCCCCTCTAAAGCTCACCCTGCTTCCCAGGTGGTGTATGGAGATATGTCTTTGAACTGCAGGTTCATCTGTGCTAACAATCATTTCTCTTCCTAACTCGGACCTTTGAACCAGCCCAGAGATGACTGAAAAATAGACTGAAGGAGAGTTTATCTGCCATGAAGTAACTAGTCTTGTTATTCTAAAGTGTGATCAGTTAATTTATGACTCTCAGAGTGGGTCAGACTCTAATCAGATTGTAGAAACATTTCCAAAGTGATTATTCAATCAAATGACTAACATGGTTAATTAGGAGCCATAAACATTGCTCTGAAATTCATCAAAGTAATGACTTGCCCAGAAGAATTACGGCTAATTAAATTGCCTGCTGCTTTCAAGTCTACCTTATCGAATAAAAAATCCAGCCAATGAGATTTGGCCTGGCCGCTTGACATTGGACTAAATGCTCAGCTATAACTCCCAAGTATTTCAACTGGTTCAGCAGCTGCTTCAAAAGCAAATCTTTGGCCGCACACGCTGAAGATAGGCATTTTCTTTTGATTAAGTCACAGTAACATAAGATAGACAGGTTGGGATAGCCAACCTTGGGATAGCCAGGTTCCCAAGGCCTGGCTTGAAATCTGAATTTCACTGTCTCTATGTCTTTTGCATGCACACGCAACCTCTCCCCCAACACACACCATCTAATAGCAGAGTTTTTAGGAAGACTAGTTTCTAATTTAAAAAAAAACGACAAGGGAGAAGGCAACCTCAAACTAAGATTAATTAAATCCAGAATTAAATCATTGGTTTATTTTTCTTACTGACACTGTCCTCAAATGACAAATATCCCAATTTGTGTGATCTCCCTTATTAGAATGTAAGTTCCTTGATATAGGGAATGGACTGTCTTTGGTTCTGTATTTCTGTGCCAGAACTTGGCACATGCTAGTACTTGACAAAGGATTTCTCTCTCATTCATTTATTCATCCATTCATTCACTCTCTTGATCCACATGTTCAATAGCTATTCACCCACGTATCCAATTCAATTCACCAAACATCCCTCCATCTATCATCCCACGATCCATGGATCCATCTATCTATCCAAATTAGATAATGGATATAAAACATTTTTCAAACTTTTAAGGTGCCATGTAAATACCAGCGATCATCAAAATTATTATTTGTCTGTCCATCCATTTCCTCACTTCATCTAGCTACCTAAACCGCATAACTTGATGTCTGGCCTGCAGAATGTAAAAAGCATTTGCATCGAATTTTAATTTTAAAAAATT